CTGGATTATGACTGGGAGTACCCTGGGTCTCGAGGCAGCCCTCCTCAGGACAAGAACCTCTTCACTGTCTTGGTCAAGGTGAGCTGGACACATCCCAATGTGACTTCTCTTCCTACTCCTCCCACCATCTGACTCACACTGAGCCCTCGCTCTCTCCTGATGACACAGCCTCTATGGCCGCCTTTCCAGCCCTGGCTGTGCCTTTGCTCATTCCCCCCAATGCACTAGTGTGGGAGTTGGAATACTCATTGCTTCCCATTGCCACTTCTAGCTTCTCTCTCTACCACCAGCAATCAGTAACCTTTCCTCCTTTGAGGTTCACTCAATCTATATTTATCATCCAATCAAGATTCAGGTGACTGTTGGCTACCTACTTCTCAGACACTTCCTGTCTTTCCTCAATGAATTAAGTGCCTCACTCACAATCTTTCTCTCCTCCCCAACTTTGGCCCTCATTCTAGGGGGCTTCAATATGCATACTTCAACTCCACCCAGTATCCTAACATCCCAGTTCTTCAATGTGCTCATTTCCCATGACCTAGTGCTCCACTACACCTCAGCCACACACAGAGCTCATCACACCCTTGATCCTGCTATCACTTACAAATGTCCCACCTCCACGTTCATTAATTCTGAAATGCCCTTATCCGATCACAATCTAGTGACTTTCCCCCTCTCCCTCTGCCTTTGAATATCAAACTCTGCTCTTCATCTACACCATGACCTCCAATCCCTCAGCTCCTCAGTTCTCTCCCAGACCATCACTCCTGCATTAGGCATTGTCTCCCCTTTCCCCCATCTGAACTCTTTGGAGTCAGTTCAACTCTATACTGTCCTCTTTTCTTGAGTCCCTTGACGCTGTGCCATATTGCCAATTGTGCCCTGCCAAGTCTCAGTCTTGCCATCATCACTGCCTTCACTACTATATATGTACCATTGAACAAAGGCAGAGAAAATAGCTGTTATGACTGAGTCCATTACAAATTTTTGTTGCCTGATCTCAACCAAGCC